TTCTCCCTAGCTTCTCACACGTATGATTCTCTCTTATCTCCTGCCAGATATCCCTCTTTCCCCCTTTTCTCTTGAACACGCCCCTCCCCTGCTCACTATTGCCGAATCAGCTTGCACACATATGACATAACATCGATCAACTTCTTGCTCTTTCACACCGCCGCTACTTCACCATGCACCACCGCTTATGAGGTTCCTTCTTCTCCTCTCCTTCTATTTTTCTGAGTATTGACATAATTTTTTTTATTATACTCATATTTCTTTGTTTTTCTGGATTTGAATTCATATTTTTCCAATTTTCACATTTCTATTTAACACTTCCAATTTCTGAGTTCTTAGTTTAAAAAAAAATGATTTTCTAAAATTTTGGAAGATAACTTCAGATTCTGCCAAGTTATAGTAACAAAACTTCATATTCTGCCAAGTTTATGGAAGAAGTTTGTAGATTGATAATCCTAATATGGAAGAAATACTTTTTTGTGAACATGTTCTTATGATTTTTTGTAATTAACTTCATTTTTCTGATTTCCTATTGTTTAAAGAGGTTATTCCATTAGAAATAATAATTTTTGAGTTTATGGTTATTGAGTTCATATTTTTGCCAAATTAATGGCAATTTTGAATTAATATTCCAAAATAAATCTGTCAACTTTATGCCAGATTCGAAATTCTTGTTCATGCAAATTTGAAATTAAATTTTCAATGCTAAATTTGCTACTTTAATGGCAGAATTATGACATTGAAGTTCTCCTCGAGACGGTTGTGCTCGGAGGTGCAGTGTGGCCTAGGAATTGGCAGTGGCGACATATATTATAAAAGGTGATTACGATAACCAGAGCGGCGGCGGCGGATGGTGAATCCGGTCTAAGCGACAATGGTTGGTAACACCTGTGAGGGAGGCGCTGTAGGGATATGACGGCGGGCGGCAAGAAATGGCATGAGAGAGAAGTTCTTCACTGCGAATTGTCCTTCCCGTTCTGGCACCACTTATCCAATTTCTTCTCATAATTAGTTCAGGGTTATTTTGGTCCACCCATGTATATTTTACTCCTACTAAACTTTATTACCGTCTGCACTCCTATATGTGCAATTTCTATTACTTTTACTCCTGTATGAGTAATTAATTCTTTTCCAAAGTTTGTCAAAGAAAAAACAAAGCAGCAGGCCCTATTATTTTCCAAAGTTTGTCAAAAAAAGCAGTAGATTGGTATATTAGTTTTTCAAAAAAGAAAAAACATGCTCGTATATTAGTTTGAGTACTCTCATAGTTGAAGAAAAAAATAACCAAATTTTTAATCGTTAAAGAACAAAGGAAAATTTTACGGTGCAACCAACTTGCGGAACGTTTTGGTGCATCTTACACTCGGCGCAAGTTAATTGGTTCTTTGTTCCACCTCATATATTTTCCTATTTGTTTTGTAAATTGCATAGAAGTCCTTCCCCGTTTACGTCTCCCCTTCCAAATCCATCTAACCTCTGCGTTATTTCTGATCGCTTGTATGAGGAGCAGTAATCCCAGGAGGAAGGAGAAGAGCTCCATCCTCCAAACTTTGCAAGTTCTTCCTCACCCTCCTTTCACCTAGAAGAGCGCAGAGCCAATATTTAACAAAATTGCGACCACGAGTGGCTCAATCGACTTCTCAAAGACTCTAGGTAGCCAGGTAGGCTTCCTTTTCTTGTAAAACTTAACCCTAATTGGTGATTTTTAAAATTTGATACCCTAATTTGAATGTTAGATAGTGAGAACTGGTCTATTGTCTCTTTAAATCTTTAATGGAACTACATATACTAATTTTTATTATTAGATGATTAGAAAGTGGAATTGGCCCCTCTTAATTGCCATTTCATTAAGTATGATTACGCTTATTTCCAGCTTTACTGAATTCTCGGACTGCTTATCGAACTCTTGAACTAACCAGGCTCTGGATTCTGGAGGCAGCCACACAAACTCTCGTAACCTTTTGGGAATGATGCAGGTAACGGAAATCTTATAGTTTGTTGTAAACTGTTTTCTTTCTTTTTCAACCAATTCAAGTTTGATCAGCTCTAATCATCTAACTGTGTGCTAAAATTTTAGCTGTGACTTTAATTTATTAGCCCTAATTTATTGTTAAGATTGTGAGCTGGTTTGATGTCTATTTCATGTAACTAAATATTAACTTTTAGTAGTTAGATAATTTGAATGGAACTAATTCGCTGTCTTAATAAAAATGCCAGCTTTTGCTTATAAGTTATGAAACTGTCTTTTCACTACTTGAAGGCCAGAAATTAATAATTATAATCCAATCACTCGTATAACACACTGAACTTATATGTCAACAAAAAAGCACCAACACATTGCTATGAGATTTAAAAAGGTCCCTTTAGATCTTTTAACATTCATACGAAGTACGATCAACATTCAAACACGTACATCGAGTGGAAAATGTTACTCCAATTATCCTTAAATAAACTTTCAAATTTCCTTTTTCTCTTCTTAGAAAAAAAGAAATTACTGATTGAACTATGAGAATCTTGATTGATTTTATAGAAATTTGATGGTCTTTTGCTTTGATGGTATCAAACTGACCAAGACATTCTTGAATAATTTTACTCAATTGCCAAGGGGTATTTTGCATAAATGATCTATTAAAGATGAAACCTTCAGGTTATAGAATCCTTAATTTCACCCTACAGCATTGAAGAGGTCTCAAGGAGATGAGCGGCAACATCAACAAACTGCATACCATGATATCTGAGATTTGATCCACCTGCTATCATTCCTTGACTATATGATGCATTTGTGTATAGCTTTAGTTTTTTTTAAATGAGACCTGATCCCAGGTTTTATCTTATACTGAAAATGTGACTTCAAATTGGTGGTATCAGGACATCTTCTTGAACTTCTGTGAAGAAAAAACGCGAGTTTGGAGTAGTAAAATCTCTGTAATCATAAATTGATGTTGTGATAATAGTTTCTAGGAAAATTTTATGGCGCCCTCACTTTGTGAACTGTTTCGGTGCATTTAACATGGTCACGTTGTGAGTGGTTATTTATTCTACCTCACACATTTGTGTAAAATTGCATCTAATTCCTTACTACAGTTTAGTTTTCGTATAGTTTCGTAAAGAACCTCACTTCCAACTCCTATCTAACAGTCTCTTTCTGATTTTGCTTTCGCCATCGCAAGGAACAACGGCAAGAGAAACGTAAGGATTAGGGAAAATGGTTTATTGCAGGTGTGTTTAGTTGCAAGGCCAGATGGAAAAAATGGATGGATGTGTTGACCTTGTCTATTCTTATAATTGGTGGTGAGAGCTAGTGTTACTAACTTTTTTTAGGCTCCACTATTTATAATTATCTTGGACTTCACACTAGTATTATGATTCACACATGCTAGTTTGATTCGACATGCTATTTCAATTCAAATTACTATTTTATATATGTTGTTCTTCGCACTATTATTATTAGTGTATGGGAATTTGTTCTCTGAAGTAATTAATTTGCGTTAACTATAATTGAGTCTTTTATTTGAATGTCCAATTTATAAACAAAAGGGTCACAACAAGGCAGTCTGCCTAACTCTAGAAAAGTTAGTGGGTCATCTGTTAGGGCCAGAGGAAGAGACAGAGGTGGAAGGCGTAGCATAAGTGGACGAAGTTGAAAAGGCGGCAATTGAGTTGGAAGAAGCAGAAGAGGTGCTAGGGCTACTAGTGTTCAACACCAGGAACTCAAGAATTACTTGAATGAATGTAATAGGTAGCCTATTGATTACATTTTTCCTGGATTATGTGGGAAGAAATGGCTGTTTTTTAGGTGCAATACTTTTGGATGTTTTTATTACGCCTTATTTGTGAAGAGCTCAATATTTACGTTACCTTTCATGTATTTTTCAGTCATGAGATTGAATGTATTACTCGCTTGGAGGTCAACATTTATAGTCACTATATGAGTTTGAATTTTTTTGTTACCTCATAGGTTGGACTGAGAGGGGGTTGCAACTGCAAGTTTTAACATTTTTCTTGGTTCCATTACGTAGTCCTTGTAAAATTTTGTAATTTCACTAACTTTGTGATGCTCTGATTTTCCATTATCTGTGACACATTCTGAGTGCCATTTTCCAATTTTAATCTAACTATGATTTAATTTAAATAAGTTAGATTACATTATTGTATTTCATTGATTCTCTATGAATTATAAGAGTGACATCTTGAGTTTGGGCACGGTGATTCTTTAGTGCGCTACTGGGTGCTTCCAAAAAAAAAAAGTGGCCAAGTCTTGTTGAAAGTCCCCCGGACCTATTGCATATGTTGGACTAGTGGTGGACCCGGTTCGGGCCGCCCGGCCCGGGACCGGACCGGCCCGTCACTGTACGGGCCCGGAGAAGCGGGTCCGGACTCGGGTTCTGTTTTTGGTGGCCCGGCCCGGCCGGGCCCGGGCCTAACGGTCATTTAAAAAAAAAAAAATCTTTTAATTTTAAAAAACACATTTTGGCTCAACAGCCACTTCCCAAACGGCTATATAGCCGTTGGGGGGTACCGGGGGGGGGGGGGGTCCGGGGCGTTTGGGGTGGGGTGGGGTGGGGTGGGGGTGGGGGTTAAAAAAACCTATACTCCTAATTTTAAACATTTTTTCACACCTCTTCTCCAACTCTCCCTAAATCCTACTCTCTACTCATCTCCAATTCTCCATATTCATCTTCTCAAATTCTCTTATTCTCCTTTATATTTTATTTTACTATTTAATACAATTATTATATCTACTTATAAATACATATACTATATTACTTATATTTCTTATCTACTTAATCTCTACTTATATTTCTTAATACATACATACATACTACATCTACTTAATATATACTTTATATAATAAAGTATTAAATATACTTTATAAACTATTACTATATACTTAATACATAATAATATCTACTTCTCTACTTAATAATATCTATTTTATATATACTTATTTTATAATATCTACTTTTATATATACTTTATAATATCTATTTTATATATACTTATTTTCTTATTTTCCAATCTCCAATTCTCCATTATACTCTAATATTTAATTCTTATACAATTATTATATCCACTTAATACATACATTCTACATCTACTTAATATATACTTTATATATTAAAGTATAAAATAATAGTATAATAGTAGGAACAAAAATATTACAACACATGACACATTGTCTTCCAGCTAGTATGGCTTGGATTTTGCTTCATTCTGCACAACCATTTCAACACTGTAAATCACTTCACAGAGTTAAAATCAGGGTCTCTAACTCCTTAATAGATGATGCTTTGCAGCTTCCTGAACGACCACTTCCCCCATATGTCTCATTCTCTTCTTGCTCACTTCGTCCAAGTACTTCTTCCAGATATAAAAACGCACCCTGCCCCCTCTTAAAATTAATATGATAAATATGTATTAAATCACATATAAAGCTTATAATGGACAAATTGTGATTAAAAATCGTATTTACTTTCTGAATTTATTTAACCTAAACTATATTATTATGGGCCTGTGAAAAGAATACCATGATTAAGGCGTAGGAAACAATGCCATAAAAGTAAAGCAAACTTCTGTGAAGGGCGGAATAAAGTCTGGCCAAATGACCCAAAAGCTCCATTGCACCAGATGGATAAAGATTCTTGCTAAAGGACGCTAGGCTACCTCTCTGTTCTGAAGCTCTCTTTAGCATAAACTGAGCACAATACGAGATCCATGGCTGCAAATAATCAGTGCATTGGAGCCCATTCAATAAAGATTATATGGCCAGTAAACTTAAGAAAGTATGATGTGACAATCGGTTTTATTATTTTATTACTTAAAGGTAAAACCAGGCATATATTATCTCCTCTCTATATCACTTGCCACACACGGATCAGTATCCTCTGATTCTGTAGATATCAAATTTAATTAGTGGAAATAGTGCTAAATTTGATGAGCAACATTGTTATGTGATACAAAACCTATTAAAGTTATTTAAATTAAATGAAACTGATACTCAGAAAAACATATTTTACAGATTGCATTATTAAATCAAACGGTCCTAACTTTAGTCTCTGCCAAAGGAAAAACATAAAACTAATACTCAGAAAATAACTTTACTCAACGGTCACTTTTATTAAACTACAAAACCAAGATTGCATTTTTTAAAAGATCAATAGTGCAATTTTTTTGAAGAAACCAAGAGTGCAATTTAAGCATAAAAATATCAAATATGAATCAAGTATAATATGAATAAAAAAATAATCATTAACTGTAATCACCACACAGACAACTTTAAATACCTAGCAGGGATCGACGTTACTTTCTAGTCAAGGAAGATCAATGTAAGCCTATTGAGTTTAATGTCCATAGAGGCTATTTCTTGAGGCTTTCCAGTTTCCAACCATATTACTGAGTAATTGAGTATTCATTACACCAGAGATAAAAATTTATAATGCTTGAATGAGTTATAATGAGAAGTTTATTTTACCTCTTCTATAGTGGAGCCCTTCTTCCTCCCACGAAACAGCTTTACAACAGAATAAGGGATAATTTGTCACAATAAGCCAATTAAGTGATACGGAGTACATTATCAAATGGTAATAAGAATTCCAGTGTGTAAATCAAAATATCTGTTGATGTTAGGGAAGACACTGAATGGTGTCTAAGCTACTGCCAGGGATTTGTACATATTTGATACAGCCCTTGCTATGTGGTCAACCATCACCTATACAAGCCAAAATAATAGTAAGATAATCAAAAGCCCAAGTTGGAAACAAAATCGCAATAACAAACCTTAAGTGACTTACAATATTGTTATCTAGAATCCTCAGAGTAGCGGTAGGGGTTACAAACTATTGTCTCAATCATAGACCAATTTAAGATGTTGATGGAGTGTCTAATCTAAGCTTCGAACATCTCAATTGAATTCTTACATAGCCAGTAACAGGAAACAAATTTATTTATGACTAGTTTTAATGTTTTAATATGACAGGAAACATATTAAGCACACTATAAAGATTTTCTTATTTTCATTTGAGTAGCAATAAAGTTGCAGAAACCTGGAACGACTGGAGGTGTAGGTTAAATTCAAACAACCTGGAAGTGTAGTCTGGAAGTGTAGTCCGCAAACCGGCAGTTTGCAACAAACCCTATGCTTTAACTAACAAATCAATATTTAATTCTATTTTGTTGACAACAAACAAGTTCATAATAATAAATGAAAATTAGGGCTAACATAATTGACTAACAAATTAGATCAGGAAAGGATTTCATATGGAGAAAACGAAAACATAAAAGGTAAAGGAAATTTATCTGCTCAAAGTTTTATTGGTGAAGGGGAATCGGATTGAGTGACCATTTTCTTCGACTAGCTCCTTGTTGTAACTTCGTTCCGACCTCAAACAATTCTGGAAGCGTACATGAGAAGACTATACACGAATAGTTGGAGATTTTTGATTGGATGTGTAGTATGGCCTGCTTGCTATTAGAAGGCAGAAACTGAAATAGTGACAACAGGGAAATGACGAGAGTTCCGATTTTGTAATTTTTAATTTTGTAAAGCTCACTGTGCAATTTTTTAATCTTTAAAGAAGATCGCTTATGTGGAACATACTTCCCAGTGAGATTTTACCACGTGGATGATGCACCAAAACATTCCTCAATGTGGATGCACCGAAGAGCTCTCCAAGAACAAATTTTAAAGAACAAATCTTTAATCAAACTGATCTGTTTGTATGCTTTGGGGTTTGCTCAGGGACATTATCCTAATTTTATCTAAAAAGGTAAGCAGCGGGCACAAAGTTTGTATAACGCTCTGACTTGTGTCTTGTACGCCTGTTCTTCTATAATTAATTTTAGGTGACGATGTTTGTGACGAGAATTGAAAGAGAACCTTTGTCAAGATTCCAGGACAGATAAAATCCTCTTTCACGATCCGGATGCAGGAGCAATGGCCGCTGGCACTGCAACGTCGCTGTCTTTACTGTTTTTTGCTACAACTTATGTATTGTCCCTCTTAACTTCACCCCATCTTGTCTCCGGCAATGAACTTTCCTTGGGTAAAGAATTGCATTACAATTATACTCCGTAGTATTCTAGGGTTAACTCTTTCCGCGCTTTGTTTTTTTATGATTTCTTTTCGATCTGTGTTTTTTCCTGGATTATAGTTGCTTCATTGAAGAATGCACGTATTAGTGAAAAAAATTGTGCATTAAGTCAATTAGCATGGGCATTTGATCTAGTCTTTTCTTTTTCGCAGTATGTACAAAATTAATAACTTTGATTTCCTATTAATGGCAGCTGTGTCTCAGTCCATCAATTTGCAGCTTTCTCCTGCTTTGCCCGTGGAAAATTCTCCTGGTGCTAAGCCTGGTACTAAAGTACTCTGTGAAAGAGTAGAAATCCGTGGCTTGCCAAGGTTTAAGAACCTTGACAAATATGCCAATTCTGTGACAGTCAACGTTTCATATGTTAGTCAAGGTGGCCGCCCACCTAATATTGAGGTCTGTTTCCATAGGTAAGCCTGTTGAGAACTATTTGGCATTCTTTTTTTTTGTTTTTCGTTTTTCATTCACATGTGTGTCTGGCGGTGATATTAGGAGTAGTGAGGTACTCTATTTTTTGTTAGTCAGATGGTGTTGGCGCTGATAAGCAGTACTAAGGTAGGGGTTTGAAAAATAAAGGAATTGTAGTTAGAACTTAGAAGGTATGATGGTTAGTCGAGCTAGAAAAGCATAAGCTAAATGCTTCGAGCATTATCAGCATTCTGCTTTTTAAGCGAATTTTTCTAGCTATATTTGGATCCTGGATGATGCTAGGGAAAGTAAAAAAAGAATCTAAGGAAACTTATTTTGTTGTGTGAAGGGGAACCTTGGCGCACCAGTTATGGGGTCGCTGTGTGATCATGATATCACTGGTTCAAGTCTTGAGAGCGACCTCTTGTAAAAAAAAAAGAAAAGGGAAGACTTGTTCGTTATACACCCTTGTGGTGGGACCCTTCCCGGGCCCTCGCCTTGCGGGGATGCCAATGTGCACCGGGCTGCCCCGTTTTTTTAAACTTATTTTGTTGTGCGTCAGTTTACCACCACAGAAAATGAAAATGAAATATGATTAATGTTTTAATTTTTTATTACATATGTTGAAATTCTTAGTATTTGTATTATTGAAACACTTAAATAAAGTGAGTTTGAACCAATATAAAAACTATGGGTTTGAAGAGTTCTTTTATGCTTCCCAAAATTTATTTCCTTCCAAACTTAACTTATATCTCCTTTTGCTTTCCTTGGCAAAGGACCCTAAAGATAAAATTTGATGTCAATTGATTGATTGTGGTGTCTGAGTAAATTGTTGAGATAAAACAAATGAGATGGTGATTACATTGCAGGAACCATTCCCTTGGTATAGGAATGTGCCCTCAAGGACAATGGGCTAAGCTGACAAAGGGGTCATTGGTTAGATCATTGTCACCTTTTGGTCACATGCTTTTGGATTTGCGGATAACTGGCTCTTCTAATCAAACACTTCAGATGTCCCTAAATGAAGGTTATTCCATTAAACATGAAACTTATTCCTATTTGGTCTCAGGTTGTAACTCTTTTATATAATCTCAAGCCTCCATTACAGAATTTGTTCTGTATCGGATTGTGTTTTTGGTACTGGGAGTACTGTTGATGGTGGTGGCATCATCTCTTAGCAAGTCTCTTGTGTTCTACTATAGTGGTGCTATGATTGTTGGGATTTTCCTGGTGATATTAATGGTCCTATTCCAGGTACCTCTTTAATTTTAACTTGTTCTTATCATATACGTAGTAATTCTCTTTGTTACTTTGAAGGTCATTTATATCTATCTTAATATCCAATGAGAATTGAGGTTGTATCTTTCTTCTTATGGGTTGCTGGAATGCGAGAAATGCTAGGGAAAGGGAAAAATTGCTGTGTTATTTTATTATGTTTATTTTTACCTAAAAATGCAACGGAATAGGAAAAAATGACGAATAGTGTTTTAAAAAGTATTACACATGGATATAAATTTAAGAATAATAAAACAAGGGAAAAATTCACAAAAATAATCCCAACTATTCGAGATCTTCTTATATTAATCCCAAGTACGCATAATTCAAAAATAATCTCAAATATACTAGCACCCTTCCCAAATTAGTCCAGGTTACCTGTGACTTGCTAAACCAGTATAAATTATTAAAAGAAAAGAAATTTGAATGGCATATTTCTTCATCTTCACTGGAAGTCCAGAACCATTAGTCCATTACTGCTTCCTTCAATTCGTCTCTAACAGCCTGAATCTCACTTTCGTTTTCTTTTCTTTTTTTAATTTTCTTTTCTCTTCCCCTGCACCACAATAGTAAATCTCCCTCTCACGTTCCTTTTGTTCTTCAATTTGCACCTCAAATTGTACTTCTTTCAATTTCAGATTTGCAAAGTTTAATTTATGAAATCCAACTCAAATGTGACTTTATTCATCGATGTCTACGAATACGAATGGTGGAGGCCGGAGCAGCTGCTGGGTTGAAGGGATGGACGACGAATACAAAGAACAGTTCGCATGGACGGAAAGACGGACCGATGGAGATCTGACATCGAAGAACAACTCCGATGGACGACGATGTTGATGAAGACCAGTCGAAGAGCTTCTGGGAAAACCAGTCGGTTGTTGAAATTCTATATTTCTACAGTGGCCTTGCTTGATGGATCAAAGAAGGGCCGGTGCCTCGAATGTCCCGAAACACTTGTACGCCCAGTACAGGAAGATGAAGCAAAAACAGGGAAAAGAAAAAAAGAAAAAACAAATAATAGAAGAAGGAAAAAAAAGGCCATATCTTCGAGAATGAAGAAGAATAGATACATAGCAGATGGGAGAAAGAAAAGGGCTCGAAGTCTTGAACAGGGTTGCTGAAGAATTTGATAGGGAATAAAAACGGAAAAAAGAGAAAATAAAAGGGAAAGAAATAAAAGGAAAATAGAAAAGATAATGATGCCCAATTAGAATTTGACACATGGTCGGGTAACCTGCTAAAGTTGTTCGTTCAGGTCACAGGCTCATTTTTAGAAGATACCATATATTGTTTAGATTATTTTGGAATAATTCATATTTGGGATTAATAAGAGAAGATAGATAATAGATGAGATTATTCACATCATCACATGAATTTTTCCTAAAACAAGTATGAACAAATATCTAAAAAACATACCAAGTTTCAGTTTGTTTTTATTTCCTCCAAATCATCTTGCCCTCCAAGCTTGAAGTTATGAACCCGAACTCTGATTGATGAAAATAAATAAAAAATACCTATGCAGTACTGAGATATAGTTATTCTACCTGATGCTAAACTTGTCTGAACTGACAACTTGTCAAATGTAATGGCAGGGGATGAAGCTTCTTCCAACTGGTAGAAAGAATTCATTAGCCATATTCATATACTCATCCTTTGTGAGTATCGTTTTTCATTTTAAAACCGGTTTATTGCTTTTCCGGTGCAAAATGATGTTTTCCTCCAAATAATGTAGCGAGCTGCACTTATTTCTATTCAGATTGGTTTGGGCTCTTTCTTACTTCGCTATGTGCCTGGACTATTGCGCTTGGCACTTTCAGAGATTGGTATTGGTGAAGAAATGTACAACCCTGTATGTAAGTTTCTTATTTATGTTGTTATACACACTAAATCCATCGTTATTCTAGAAGGGTGTAAGAAGTATTATACGCCTGGTTGA